CAGCCTTTACATGCTAACTGTTTTCCAATTAGCTACTGAACTCTTACCAAGATTACCAGGTCCCAACCTGCTTTATACCCTGTGAGCAGCCCATAAAGTGGTTGACTGATAATAACTTTCTGTCAACCAGTCTTTTGGAACATCACAGTACTAATAATTAATTCCTGTTTCTATTCTTTTTCAGAAACTCAAGGGCACTACTCTGTTTCACATACTCAAGGCACTGATATTCAACTTAGAATATTTGAGCTACCTGAGCCAGTGAAAAAATGTGAACATTATAGGTTTGTTTAATTCTTTAAATCCCAATGAGCCATTTTTTTCATAATCTCAAACTTCAGTAAAGAGTATGTTCCACAAAGATAAGTACAGAGTTCTTTGGCTGGGATTTCACTCAGCATTTGGAAGAGCAGGGACTGTGCCTGTCACACCAGCCAAGGCACTGGAGATCCAGGTCTTTAGAAAAAAGACACATCAGCCACCCAATGTATGGAGGGTGAGATGAAATTAAAAGGGAGTTTCCTTCTCCCAGAATCAAAGTCTGGGCACAGATCATTACAGCTGTAATTGTCTTCTGCGGGACAGGTCATCCAGTTAAGTAAAGTTCAAGCACAGTTTAAGTATGCACAGCTGAGTGTATTGCAGTGTTATCATGAGTAAGAGTTTGCCTGCCAAAGAAGAGATTAATAAAGAACRTATTTTAAAATGGTTTTGCCGTCACTTCCTTCCCCAGCTGCAGATGTTAATTTCTAGATATTGTGTACCATGTCCAAAGGGAAAAACATAAACAGATCAAGTTCCTCTAGGCTTTCTTGGAATTTGCTTTGCTTAGAAGAAATTTAAGAAACAAATAAATAAATATCTCAGCTCTTCATATTTTGTTTCTGTGKTTTAGATCCCGACTGAAGTATTATTCCACAGAATAATATGCGGGATAAGGTGAGAAAATAAAGACCAAGGCAGGCTACATGGCACAGTACTCCAAAACAGACAGTGCCATGCTAGGTTAGAATGGTTGGATTTCTTAAAATCACAATATTGTCACGGTGCTGATGCMTAGCTCAGTGCTGGCCCATTTCCTGTGCTTTGGTGATGAACAGTGAAGGCTGGGTGTGCAAGATCCCTGGGGAGCATCAGCGTTGTTCCCCTTCCTAAGCACCCACCTACTAAAACCAAATGTTCTGTGTGATGCTGAGCATACCCCTGGCTGAGCATACCCTGCTGAGCACACCCCTGTGGGCTAACAGAGCAAAGTGGAGGTAGCCAGCTACTCAGAGGGCAGCAGATCCTGCCACAAACACCTTACCAACCACACATATTGATTTTTTCACACTACAGGATTTCAAACACTCCTTTGCACTTTACAGTTCAAACTTTGCTATGCAAGCCTGAAAATTTTAGGTTTTCTGCTGATAAAAAGGAAATATTCTTAGTGTCTGTTTCTATTTCAGTGATGGTAAAGTAACCCTCTGCTGTGTCTGTGATAGTACAGTCTGATGATTCACATGGGATAGYGATGATATTGGGAAAGCCCATGATATTGGCACTTACAGCATTGTGGTTCTTTGTAGTTTGAAATACAGATTTTTATTTTTTTTGCCTGAACCAGTGTGGCTATTCATGTGTTCTAAAATGCCTGGGAAATGTTTTCTTAACTACAGTCATATACCTGCATAGTTTGCAACTTCTTAAAATGTATATCATTGTACAGGTATTTGGGAGAAGGGATGAAAAACRTGCTGTTTAAGACAAGGTACTGAGTTTTGTCTCCTTGACATTTCTTAGGATTGCCTAGTAGAGGAGCCAGTGGGATTCTTCCCTCTACCTCATCTTTGTCTCTACAGCATAATCCATTTTAATCTGTACTTTGGAACCTATTGTTGCAAAATCAGGGCCATTAAATTTTCAGTATTTGAGAGGGGTTGAGCTACAAACAATCATAAATAAAATCTAAATTATTTTCTATCTGAAATAAGAAAGAATTGACCAAATGCTTAAAATGCCAGGTGCCTTGGACGGGTAGAACCTCACACAGCAGACATCGAGCCATGTTGCTGCAACTGCTCTAGTGCAGGTGCAATATCGGGGTATAATTTATACACAGGACAATAATCAGAAAGTCTTGGTTTTCCACACAGACCAGATCAAGACTTTTATCAAATCTGAAGGAAGGCCTAGCCACATCTGAAGTATCACTCAGGGCTATTTCTTTACTTCAGTACTTCCAGAGGGAAATATCCCATACAGTCCCTCTGTTACACATTGTATAAGAGTCAAGAGGAGAAATTATATTGTTTTGTAGAAAGACAAATGCAATTACAAAATAAAATTAGACTCATAGACACAAATCATCATTATGAGTCCTCTTAGAGACAACTGGATGAACTTTCTGTCAGACCTAGAACTAGATGCAATTTTTTCTGTGGATATTCCCTCAGAAAAGAGGATCCAGAATCATAACCAATTTTTGTGTAGTMATTTACTTTTAAAAGAGAAGGGTAAAATAAGCAAAAAATTTTGGAAAGTCTCATTTCATGTCATGCTTTTCTTGTGATTGCTAATATTACTAAACTGTTGAGTGTTTAACTGTACACTGAAAATTCAGGAACTGCGGAGCACCTCATTGCACCATAAAGCCACGTAAACATCTTAATGCACGCATGTCTATCTCAGGAAACAATTCCAAGAAGCTTCACACAGGAATTTAGTAGAAACTGGCTCCTGGAAGGTGCCCTCCTTTCCTACCCCTACCCACAGACAACAGGACCCAGCAGCCCAAACACTCCATCCAGTCTCTCCTACCTCCAGGCACACACATGTAGAAGCACTGCTCTCCTTCTCCCTTCCAATTCTCTCTCCAAAATTCATGCTGATGATCATTGCCCTGCTTACCCCATCCCCATCATACTTATCCTTTCCAACTACTCTAACATCAGGTAGACTTCGGCATTGGAAGCCCAAGAGGCAGTCAGAACATACCTGTAAAATGTCCCTAGGAAGGAGAATGGAAAGGCTGCATCCTGCCCAGCCTTTGGGCACAATCTTCCCTGCCCAAATACGTGAACAGAGAAGGCAGGGGAACTACCTACCAGAGAGACAGCCAAAGGTATGGAAGGAAGCCTCCAGCTGGAACCAAGGGCAAGTCTTGACCTAAATTTTAAGTGCACTTCACCCTGTTGGCAGTCATGGCTTCCCAGGAGGCACTAAAAGCAGCAGACAAAGACCCTGCCAGGAAGGAGACATGGGATTCCTTAGGGAACTGAGAAGTGCTTCTGCCTCAGGTGTACAATCAGGCAACCAGCTCTGGCCAGTGASATGCCACACTCCAAGAGTTACATTCCCAAATGGCGCATTTTAAACATTTATTTTTTTTAAAATATCACCTCCTAAGGGCACAGTAGCCAGAAATTACAAAATGTTGGAAGTCAAGCAGATGAGGCAGAAGACCAGCTTGTCTGAACAGGGATCTTCTCCTGGGAAAAAAAAAAAGGCCAAAAAAGGAAGGTGTGTACCCAGTGAAAGTAACATCAGGTGACATGGTGCACTGGTTTTGGAACAGCCACCCCTCTAGGGGGACAGTGGGTCCAGGGAGAAATGCTCTGGCATGATGGAGCAGACCCACTGTGGCAGTCATCCTGATTATCTCAGAAAACAGGACCCCAGTGTGAAAGCAAGGATATTTTTGAAGAAGTTGCTTGTGCCTTGTGCTCATGGCATTGAAACAGCAGCCTCACTTGTGTTGATAAGATCAGTTAAGGTGCTGGCTGGTCACCAGATCTAAATTATACACCCTTTTCCTTCCTGAATGAGAGAAAAATGAATGGCATGTTGCCAAATTGCATGACTGCCCCTCTTGGGAGCACAAAAATGCCTCCTGCCAATGCATATTACTTCACTGGAACAGAGGTCTTGCCCCAGAGGTCTCTCCTTATTCCTCAGTTTCTCAGCCAGCAGCCCCAATGCTAGAAAATGGCCATGTTCAGCCCCAAGGCTTCCTTCTCTGTCCCCACCATCCTCCACTTTCAGCTCAGCAGCTCCAGACTGCTGGGCTTCTTCTGCTCCTGCCTCGATTTCTCCCACCGGAATCCCTGCCTATGCCACYTATGATCAGAACTCCCTTGATCCAGATCCCTATCCTTCTCCAGGCTAAAGTTATTCCACACACAGAGGTACATAAGAAGGCACCCCTGCCCCTCCCCAGTGCCACTTGCATGATGTTCCTGTCCACTGAGATTCTTTTAGGACTTTCTCCATATTTCTTTTCACTTACTTTTTGCTCTTGGATGTGAGTGCCAGTATTACAGGCTCACAACACATGTACCACATGGAAGTTTCTAGACCATGCCTACATGTGGAATTACTGTGTGGAGCTTTGTGAACAGCTCCATAGCTAGGTGTCCGACATGCAGCAACCCCCAACACACAGCCCTCCTATCAGTCCCACCCCAAAGGYGGCCAGTAGGACACAGAGTTCTAGATCTGCCCAGGAGGATTAAAGGAAGGAGAGCTTCCCCCCCTTACATCACTTGAGGTTTCAGTGGTTTCTTGCAGCAGYGAGCACCTTGACACTTTGCCCTGTGCCTGTGTAAGCACAGTGTCTGCAGGCAAGGGAAGCTTGGGCGACACTGTGTCTGGGAAGCAGAGGGAGGGTATCCAAAGTGCAAGAAAAGTCATGTTGTCAGTSAACTCCAGGACTGTTGTGGTACTGGGGGTCAATGTTGGGACGGTCAGTCATCTCTACAGAAGTGTCCAAACAAAACAAAACAAAATCATCTAAGCCCTCATGGACACTCAAGCTACTCTAATAGCACAACAATTATGGGTGAGCTTAGCCTGGGCAGTTATTTGTGCTGGTTAGCACAGCAGGGAAAAGGAAAGGAAAAGCAGAAGTATCTGACCCTGGCTCAGATGGCGGAACTGGGATTGGCTTGTTTTCTTGCTCACATTTAGTCTGGTATCTGCAAAGAGCACTCCCCTCAGAACCGAAACTGAAAGCAGATAACTATCTGCACGTCATAAAACCAGGGCTGCGGTGTCAGCGATCAGCCAGCACGAGACYAGCAGCAGCCACAGACGCACTGGGCTCCTAGAACGTCACCACAGCCCTTTCCAGTGTGCTTCAGCTCCACACCCACTCACATGGGCAGCCCGTAAGTATCCTCCACTGGGTCTCCCAGTGGCATTGGGGACAACTACCAGSAGAAAAAGTGGTGCTGCAGGGTGCAGATGCCTTGGAGGGAGCAGGTCCTTCCCCAGCTGTGGGATGCTTTAAGGGCAGTTCGCCCACAATCTGTTCCATTTGCCGCTGGTTGGTTTCTGTTTGCCAGCAATCCTTAGCTTGTCAGGGGCTTTTCTCTTCACCCATGGTTTCTCTGCAGCTAATCCTGCCTGAGAGGGAAAGATGATTGGGATAGCTGGGATGGAGGGTAGAAAGGTGGGAAGTTGTGAAGGGACATAACAGGTGTCTCAAAGGAAAAGTCTCAAGTCCAAAGCTTGACGCTTTCCCATCACTCTTGCACGGCATTTCTCCCCACAGCAGCCAGGGAGAGGGGATGCAGGAAAGTCAAGAATTCTCAGGGGCTCTTCAGTGCATAAGGAAATGCCCATTCCCTTCCCCTTTGCACTCAGTCCCACTGAGTGCAAAAGGGTTCCACAGAGATGTTCTTCCTTGCACAGAGGCCAGATCCTGTGCCAGAGCTGTGTATCTTCCTGCCTCCTTTGCCCAGGCATTCCACCAGCAGCTTACTGGAGAAAGGCACAGCCCCAACCTGGGAAGGTGCCCACCTGCCTGTGAGCAGCAGAGGAAAGGGTTGTGCAATTCCAAAAGCACAGAGGGTGCCTATGAGCCTTACCTCCCACCCAAAGACCTCATGGAGCTCCTGAGCCATCCACATGGGGCCTCTCTCTGCCAGGGACACTGAGAGACAGAGCTCTCCTATGGTGAAACCCAGTGTTTCCAGTAATGCCAGTCCAGAAATAAGGAGGCTGAATCCAGGCTGAGGCTCGCTGTGCCATGTTCAGGTTTCTCTTTCTTGCACTGTTGAGGAAGAAACCCAGTACCTCCCATCCAAAGGCATAGGCACCTCCTCAGAGTCAGCAGATGTCTGGGAAAAACCCAAGCAGTACACTGGGTGAAAGCTCTTTCCTGTTTGTCCCTTGCTTCTCAGCCAGGCTGCTGCAAAACCTGCCTCAGTGGCGAGCTGCAGAGCTCCAAATGCCACATCTGTGGCTGCACTGTGGCAGGGTGTCAGGTCTCAGGSTTCACTAGACCTATGGCCTAACCACAGGTCACCTCCAGGCCAGTCCTGTGTTCTCTATCCAGCTGGCACAGGGCCATCCCAGGTAYGTTTCTGGCTCCGTCAGTCACACCTAGGGACAGAGATTTATCTACTGGGGAGGCAGCAGGAAGCTGAAGGGCAAAGATACCAGCAATTTGGCAGCGAACAGAGGGATACTGCTGCAAAAAGAAAAGATGTCCTTATACACGAGACTCAAAGCAGCAGAGAGGGCAGAGATACCATGGGCTGTCCCCAGGTCCTCATACATGTTGAGATCACACAGCACCACAGGGTCTCTAAGGTGGCTGCCCTCTGCCCCTGCCATCTATTTCCACAAACAAGATAGGAATTTAATTCTCTGTTCCCTCTCTAGTAACCATGCAACTAGGACAATTTTTAATTGCTTTTACATTTAATGGATGCTGAGGGAGCGAACATGAGATGATTGAACAAAAAACCAAGTTTCTACAAGCCTGCCTTTCTTATAAGGAAACTGGTCTAAAGAAATACAGCAGCAAGGGTTGGTGGGTGGGAGGGGCCAAGAGCTGGCTGGGCTGCAGTGGTCCCAGCTCTGAGCTCTAACAGAAATCCCTGGGGGCCTGGTCAGCCAGCACAGAGCTCCCTCCAAGTGCAGCTTGTTCTTCCTCTGGGGGCTGCAAAGCAGGGGCATTGGAAGAACCGTGAGAGGAGTGAGCCCTTGCAGAGCACAGGGGGGAAGAGCAGCAATGCCTTCATGCAGGAGACCATGTGTAAGACAAACAAACCAYAGAGCAATACCAAGGGCAAGACGAACTGGTAACATTACACATGCCTGTGGTCTCATTCTGCAGCACACTGTGCTSAAGCACAGATATATTCTTGGTTGCTTGTGTCTTCATTGCAGATTCAGAACAATGGGCATCCTCCATGTGACCTTCCAGTCTCTCCAGAAGCCCATTGTGAAGATCTTCAAGGGAAGCTACAAGAAGTGAGAGAAAAGTGACCAGAGGAAGCAGACAGGTTGGTGTCTGATGCTGTGACTCCCCTGCTTCCATGCTGGGTGTGTGCTGCTCTTGGGAGAAGTTTGGGACTGAGAAGCTTCATCTTTGTGCTCATTAGACAGAGATGCCCCGCTTCCAAGTTTCTAGGGAGAGATGGGGAATGGGAAGGGGATGCTGAAAGGTCTCTAGTCACCAGCACCATTGCCAGTCACAGGTAGAGATTGAGTGGAGTCTCTCCTGACACTCTAACCCTGCCTCTAACTCAGGGACTGCACCAAATCCACAATCAGCTTTGGGTGATGGCCTACGAGGCCATCCAGGACATCACAGATTCATAGAGTATTCTGAATTGGAAGGGACTCAGAAGGATCATTGAGTCCAGTTCTCAAGTAAATGCCTCACACAGTATTGAAGGATGACATACCACTGAGCAACAGTCAGTGGAGAGGGGACAGTAGAGCCAAAGTGAACTTCTTGAAGGAAAGCAGTAAATGATTCTCAGGATATAATGCTTGTCAAAGGGAGGAAGTCATTTACAAAGCCTCAAACCTGAGGCTGAGCTTGAAGCCAAGGTCTGAGTCCTATGTTTACACCTCTTTGCAGACCTGGGTGGACAACGCTTCAATGTTGTGTGGCTCTGCAGCCAGTGATACCCTTTCCTGATGCCACTCATCTGTTTTTCAGTGTGAAGCAGAAGCCTGCAAGAGGGCACTGAGAACAGTATACACTCTTGGGAGAGGAGCAGACTCAGGTTTGCCAACCAGTCTGAGAGAAGAGCAAGGTAGATGGCAATMACAGGTCTGTCTCAGTAGCACCCAYRYGGCTGGGCCTCAGAGGAAAGCAATGGCTGCAGGTGGATCCATGATGTCTCTCTGAGCAGGGCACTCCCTGTTTGCGTAGGACATTGGTCCTCAGGCAACTGAGAGAGGAGCACCATGTCTGCCAGCCTCACAGGATAGCACAGCTGCAGGCATTCAGTCCTGCTGTGCTCAGAAATCTACAGGCATGCTAGGACCTCACCTGCATGTGGAGTTCAGATGCTGGAAATGGGTGGCATCAATGGCACCAGGTGTCTCAGAGCTATAGGAGGTGGGGGGAGCCCTGCAGTTCAGACCCTGTCATGTCTACATTTTAGTCAGTAGTCCAAAYACCACAAGGGACGTCTTTGATCATAACTGAAAGAAAAGCGTTTTTCCCAGAATAGCTCTTAACCCCTCCTTCTTCTACTCAGTAGTCCAAAGATCACAAGGCATGTCCTTGTCTGATAAAAACTGGAAGAAAGGCATTATTCCAGAATTGCTCTTAACCTACTTGTTACRAGATAGCAGTTTTGCTCTCCTCCTGTCACTGCAGTTTGCTGACAAATTCCTCTTTTCCAATGAGATCATTGTGCAAAGGGCATGTGTGGGGCTGAGTCATTCCTCCCAGTACTGATCCACACATGGGACATCATTAAGCCACCTTTGCTGTGACCAAAAGTGCACCAAATGCACACCCCTCAACCCAGTAACACATGTACAGCATGGTCCTAGGCAGGGCTGAGACACTCCTGTTCTGTTTGCAGGGGGAGCCTCTAGACCCCAGCCATGAGGCTTAGAGCCCATCTGGGGAAAGGTGCCATAACAGACAACAACTGAGGGGTCCCCCCTTCATGTTTTGCAACAGGCATCCCCACAGCAGGCTTTACCATGGATGCAAGAAATCATGCAGGCACCAGGAGGGGTCTGCTGCAACTGAGGTGTACCGAGCACCTTCTCTACGTGCTGACTTTGCTGTTGAATATTGGGACCTTGGCCTTGATGTTCTACGCACTGCTGTGGGAAGTCGGAAACCTGATAGACCTCCCTGACACGCGCATAGGCTTTTACAACTTCTGCCTGTGGAATGATACAGCTGGGGAGCTGCAGTGCCTGAAGAAYGAGCAGCTACAGGCCATGGGCATCAGTCTAGCAGCAATGGCACTTGCCAGGRTTTTTGTGTATACCTCCCTGGTCCTCAGCATGTTCCACCCCATTTGTGTTTTAAATGCAAAGTGCAAAGGGGAGGGAAAGGGATGGAAGATGATCTTAATCACACACTGCATCAAGATGATAATCCTGGCAGGGGGCCTGAGTATGCTCCTTTCACAAAYCTTGCAGTGGATTCATTTGTCTGATTTCACTGGAGGCTTCTGGGCACTGCTYGGGGCTATGGCTCTGCTACTGCTCCAGATTCTCATTGCCACTGTGTTCCTCAACAGGGCCAAGCACACACACAAACACACACACTAGTTTAACTGAGTGCTTTAACTGAGAAGGCCCTGTTCATTGAGATTTGACAGTGAAGAAAACGCAAGAGCTATTGTTAAAATGATTTAAATTAGTTATCCAAATACAGCTTTACTCTCTGGCAAGAATTTGATCCCTACTCCAAAGGCTCATGTTGAGCCAGGTTCTGGCATATCATTGTATGCAGCACTCCTGCATCAAGCTGGTAGCAGATAGCAACAGACACAGCAGAGCATAGCAGCTTCCCAGGTACAACAGCATGTAACAGTCATCAGTTTGGGGCACAGCATCAAGGTGACAGCATTTCTGGCCTTGTCCCAAATAGCACTGAAGGTAGAAAAACAAGCATACAGTGGACACAGTCCTCTGCCCATATCTAGTCTAAATGCAGGCAAGCAGAGAATCAAACAAGCTTCTTTTCTCRGAGTTGTCCGGAGAATCTGCTCCTTCTCCACCTCCTGGACTAACTAGAGATGCCTTCAGGGTAATTGTGACTTGAGGAGCTGTGGCCTCACAACTGCCATCACAGCAGTGCCACCCTCAGAGGTGCACCTGTACCTCACCCGCTGGAATAATGTCTAGAGTTACTATGACTTAGCTCATTAGGGTGATGGGCCCCACATGCAACCCCCAGAGCAGCAAAGCACATGGAAGAGCAGCCTAACAACTCTATGAACACAGCCCTAATGGAGGGTTTCCATGAGAAAACAGAGGATTTGGGTGCAGAGCTCCAGATTTGTTCCCACTAATACTATGGGGCTGAGCCCAGCACTCCAACAGCCTTTAAGGTTGCTAATATCTCATAATAGGGTTGCTAATATCTCATAATAGGGTTGCTAATATCTCATACTAGGGTTGCTAATATCTCATAATATCTCATATATCTCATAATTAGGGTTGCTAATATCTCACATTAAATGTGTAATCAACTAACAAAGAGCTTTTAAAACCTTTTGCCCTACCACATAACAAYGATAAAGGGAGCAATGTTTAAAAACAGGATCTGTAGATTATGTTTAACTAGGAACTAACAAATGTTCATGAAAATGTGACCAAATAGGTTATTTCCTKGTAACTAGACAGGATATATATTGCTTAAAATAAATAAGCAGCCAATCAACAGCCAACCTTCAAGGCTGTGAAGTAAGCCATCTAGGACAATAAAGAAATAATATCAGAAAGAATCAGCTTTGTAGTTTGCAAACGAAGTAACAGACTGAGCATGCACTAATTAAGAAAGTTCAATTAAAGTGAAGACTATGAAACGACCGCTAGGATTGTAATAAACCCTGAAGGACAGTAGATGGCAGAAAAGACTGAAATAGTTAACTCCTGTTCATATAATCATTTGTCAAAATAGGCACTTTATGTTACTGATTTGTCTGTGTAATGAATWTGTAACAGCCTGRTAATTAYAAACTGTATTAATTCATCCAGTGGTTGGGAGCACTTATGGTGCAACCCCAGCATTGTAAATRAAGAATGCCTACTTAACAGTGATAGCCATTGTGGTTGAGAATTTGTTTCAAGGGACATGAGAGTCTGTTTTCTTTCTTTSTTCAGCCTTGGTGGAGATGAGACTGGTAATGCTGGTTTGACTGATCCTTCCTTTCAATAAATGCTCTCACATCTGGCTTCATGCAGTTTGTTCATCCTCCTTTTGGACTGGGAAGAGGATACTGAACCACCTTTATCCCGTCCTAAACCCCCATGCAAATTGCCATGGGGTGGGCCYCCTCAGGGCAGTCCTGGCCCCTGCCAGTCTGCTCCCACCCATGTCTTCTTCAGCCATGGGAGGACTGCTGGAGCCTGGAGGCAAATTCAGCACCAGATCCAATGGGGACAGCCTGCCAGGCCCCACTGCAGCTGTGACAGAGGGTCGGCAGGGACAAGGGAGCCCCCAAGGCTGAACCATGACCATGCAGCTCTGCCAGCAAAGCCCTTCCAGTTAAGCAACTCCCTGCTCCCCTCCAGTCCCGACACTCCAAAGGGACACTCCCGATCCACCAAAGGGACACTCACAGAAACCCRAATGTCCTCTTTAATCTGACCAAGYTCTGAGATGCGGAACAGAAATGAACACATSCGAATCTGGAGCCAAAATCCCACTGAGTGCTGCACAGAGTGGGAGGAGTACCTCCTTCCTGAAAGGAATGAGAGGGAAAYGTCTTTACAAAACAAGATGTGGGCCTGCTGGTAGGTAAGGCCAGATACTGATAGGTGAAAGAAGCAATAGGAAGAACYATAAATTCCATAGGAATTCCACTAACTGCCACAGACTGTTACTCACCCAAGGCCGCCCTAAATCCCTGGACTCAGAGAACAACAGACACAAAGAAAAAAGCGGGGTCGGGGGAACGCACATTAGAAGCAGGTGTGTATTAGGTGATTCAGGAAGTCTGTACCTCTCAWGTACCTCAGCCAATGGGGAAAGAGAGARGAAAATGCGGCCRGGAAATTAGGATAAAAAAAGAGGCTGTRTCCTCTGTCAGTTTGAGAGACCCCATGGAACTGCCCCATGGCCTCTCTCTTTATTCAAATMAAGTTACAGGACTTCYCTGTCTCCTTTTTGGACATAAAYCTCTGGTGATTGTGGATTAATTTTCCTGACATTMCTTTCYGCCCCCRCCTTCATGGGTATCCTACCTAGACAGGGCACCAACACAGCAGAGGCACAGACCCCTCCACGCTTTCCTCTGACCGTTCTCAGGGCCGCAGAGGAGACACCCTCCCCATTGTCCTCTCAGCTCCTGGAGAGTCACAGMGGAGATGTCAGCTGAAAAAGATCTCCCTGACGTATTTCAGTACATCGTCCTCAGAGTCCTCCCCGCCTGTCCTCTCTGCATCGGCACCAGCACCAGGAGGGGGTGGAAGTGCCGGACTGTAGTCACTGCCTCCATCCGTGTTGGCCGTGCTTCCAGGAGCCTTGTTTGGYGTTGGGGGAAGCTCCTGCCCCTCTTCGCTCCTACACCGCGCCTTCTCTTCACCGTCCTCGCACTGTAGATTCTGACCAGAGGGAAAACAAGCCCCGGCCGTGTGTGACTTCACCCCGGGAGCACTCCAAGGAGCAGGAGGGCGGCCCACCATGCCCCTCAGTCACCCCTCGCCAGGCCCCAGGTTCGCGGTGTCCTGCCCTGCAGCGCCGGTGGGGTGCAAAGGCAGCAGCGCTGCTGGGAAGGAGAGCAGGGGACCGGGAAAGCCATGCAGCACCCGGCAGCATCCCCCGATCYGCCTCCTCGCCAGAGGCTGCCGGGGAGCCGCGGGAAAAAGCGCTCCCTGCCCGGCCGCGCTCCGGTACGACCAGGGCCGCGTACCCACCCCCAGAGGTCCSGGCTCACCTCGGCCAGGACCGCCAGGGCCACCTCCACCAGCTCCGCCTCGTTCATGCAGTACAGCGCCGCCGGCCTGGGCAGCGCACAGGGGACGCTCAGCGCGGGCAGAGCCCGGGCTCGCCCCGCCGCCCCAAGCGCTCCCCCGCCC